AATATGCCAAGAAAGAAGAGAAGGAAAGAAACGAAGAAACTTGTTTATTATGGGAGAGTGCATATGCATCTCTTATATATCCCATAATGTACTCAAAAACCAACAACTAAATTCATAAATCATAATCTATCCTACAAAATCTTAATACTTCATCAACTACCTAATTGTAACAGAAAAGAAGAGTGTGGATAGCGTATTAGTAAAAATAAATCCCACGATGACAAAATAATTGGTGATATATTACCTATCATGTTGTCATCATCCCCCGGATTATGATATTATAATTGCCCTCACCTTCTTGAAATGGAAATGTCAACCCCTACAATAAATCTTGTCTAAATTCCAGGCCATTCACCTAGGATTTTGATTCTTTGTGAGGTCAGAATTGTAATTTCAATTTACTCTCAATAGAAAGGAAGTCTTGGATTATAAGCCAAGTAGAATAAAACCTTTTTTTTGATAATTACGTGCCTCCCATGTAAAGAATGCATATACTTCATGGCTACCACCACGTTTTGGATTTGGTCCCCTTTTTTCTGATGTTAGTTGTTACATAATGTATTTTNTCATTACATTTCCCTCTCAGGCTAAAAAGCTTTCTTGAAAGCTGCTTTTCTTTTTTCTTTGGATATCTATTGTTCTGATATATCAATCTGGGCTACCATTTTTTCCTCTCACCAGGTTCTATTATCTTACTCTCTACTCCATATTACTTTCTGGCAAATTTCCTCTTACATTTATGTTAGTCAAAGTGTCAAACACTCATTTTTTATTTTTTATTTTGGTATTCACAATTCATATAGTGATGAACTATTGCTTGTTATTCTACTAGCTAGTCCAGTTAAATTTAGTTCAAAAATTGCAAAAATACACCCTCAAAGAATCACAAACACCCACTTATGACTTATGAGTTGCATCTACTATAATCTCAAGTACTTCAAACTTTTTCATAGATAATTAATTAGCTACATTTTTCTTCCTCTCATTTCTTGTATCAGTTTAGCTAGATCTGCAGATATTACCCAATATATATATATATATATATATACAAAGTTGTAATTTTTAACATAAGATATATTCTCATGTATCATTTTTTTTCCCTGTCCTTTTGGTGCTCATAAACAGAACCATATGATCTAAAAACCCAACCAAAAAATCAAGAAAATGGCATGTTTAATCCCAGGAGTACTAATCAAACTCCTACAAACCATAAACTCAAACCACAAAATCAGGGGAGAACACAGATCAATCCTTTTACAGGTCATCAGCATAGTCCCAGCTATCTCGGGCTCCGAGCTTTATCCCGACCACGGATTTTTCATCAAAGTCTCCGACTCTTCACACTCGACTTACGCTTCCCTCTCGAAAACCGACACTGAACTAATCCTCAACAACAAGCTTGGGCTTGGCCAGTTTTTCTACGTCGACAGGCTGGCGGCCGGGAATCCCGTGCCCGTATTGACAGGTGTCAGGCCAGTTCCCGGCAGGCATCCGTTTGTCGGGAGCCCGAAAGATTTGATGCAGCTGCTCGAAGGGCCCGGTGGGAAATTTGTCGATAAGTTGGAGGACCTAAGTGCAAATAGGAAAAAGATTGTTATTAAAGAGGAGAAGGCAGGGGTTGCCTCAAGGTACATGCAAGGGGTGGTGAAGGGGCAGAAGGAGAATAATGACAACTTTGAGGGTAAAAAGGAAAAGGTTGGTTTGAGGGTTAAGCAGATTAATGAGCTGCCTAAAGGTCAGGTATGGATGAATGGATTTTTTTTCTTTTTTTTTTTTCTCCATTTTTTTTTGGGTCTAATAGTGTAATTATTATGTTTTATTTTTTGTTGGGTCAAGAAATTGTTTTTGGTTATTTGCAAAAGCTGACACCTAGTTTAGTCTTATTACAGGAAAGGAACTCAGTTATCTTTTGAAATCATGATCACCACTAACTAACTGTTGTTTTTTTGGGTTATTTATGGAAAACTACCCTTTGGTTTTGGTTTTAACTAATTGCAAAAGATACAACTATTTTTCAAAACTACTTTGGTTTTCATTGTATTTGCATAAATTATCACAATGAAAGAATGAATCACAACTATGTTTCAAGATGACAACTGACCAAATTTGGTTCTTCTCATTCTTTTAGTTTTTGGATTAACCCAAAAATCGACCCACATTAACCATCTTTCGTAGCGTTAAAGCATATCGTCGTTATCTTTCGAAATTACGAATTAAAAACAAAATTAGCAATCCTGGAGGAGTAAATCTAGCTGTAAAGGCTTTTGTAGTTAGATAAAACCATAATTATAACTGTCATTTGAGTTTTGCAATGAATAGGTTAGAAAATATGTATATTTTGCTTAAAATGGCATACATTTTGTATACAGTCAAGGGCATCAAGTCCTGAGAAGTCAGATACAGAGTCAACCAACAGTAAAGCAGCAGAAAATGTGGCAATATCCTCCAAGTTTGTGGCACTCAAAACTTCAAACAAACAAGATATCATTAATTTCAATGTTCCTACTAACAAAAAGCAATGTGCTGATATCATATCATGGTCCAGTTTGCCACCCACTCTGCTTAAGCCTGCAAAGGTATAATTATAATATTTATTTTAATTAAATTACTTGAAGCTATCATTATTTTTCTTTGCCATGGTAATGATGCAATTTCATGAATATGCAAAGGATTATTGGTTATTGTTGCTTTTTATAAATTTCTTTCTATACTTATTTTTTACTTTTTACTGATATTTGTGTTACTATTGATACAAGGGAATGATTAGAAGGGGAAATCTGGCTGCTTTGGTAGCAGCACAAGCACAAAAAGAAGCAAATGCAGCAGCAAATCTTGCCAAGTGCCTCAGGTTAAATAGACAATAATGCCTTCATATATTTTAAGTTAATAAGGACTTTTTTTCTCCTCAACTACAAGTACTGCTATTGAACCTTATGAGTATATAGATAGTGTATCAGCAAGAAGTATATATTCATCAATTTTTTTGATGGGTTAATCTTCTGTTAGATTAGATAATTGTTAGGTAGTCGTATTCTTCCAACAAATATACATACTTCCTTACTCAAAATGTTATACTTTATAATATTAAATAAAAAAATAAACGACATTTCATAGCGTAAATATGATTTTTTATAAAAAAGTATGATTGACTAACATCAAACAGTACTGTTTTACTAAATTTTTTCTTTATTTTTCTCATATTTCAGTATATTTTCCGATCTCCATTCATCCGCTTCGCCCGAGACCCCACACCTCTCCCTCTCCAAATTCTTCACTCTCCAAAATCTCATCGAAAAATCGGAAACTACAACCCCAGCCCACGAACTCCTCCAAAGTTTACAGCCCAGCCGAATATCACTCCAAGAAAACAACAAGCCCAACAAGAAAAATGGCCCACTACCACACCGCAAAACGGGCTGCAAGAGCCCAAAGCCACCATCACCAATATTCGACCTCACACCCTCCGACAAGCTGGAATGGTCAAAGGCCAACGGGTCAAAACTCAACTCCCAAGTCAAAGAGGTCCTAAAAAACGAGGCGCAATCTTGGTTCCTTAGCTTTCTTGAACAAGCGCTAGAAAACGGGTTCAGACAAGAAAAGAAAGCGAAAGACAGGTTGACTTTGGAGGTCAACAGCCACATCGCGTTGACTTTGTCTCATTTGAAGCAAGCAAACGAGTGGCTCGATAAGGTGAAGAGGGAAAGAGGTGATTTGGTGGGGACTGTCAAAAGTTTGAAGGAGAAAGTGTACGCGTGTTTGCTGCTTCATATCGACTCTGCAGCCTCGGCTTTGGAAAGTCGAAAATAAGCGTGACGTGATGGATATTAACGAGCCGAAGAACAGAAAATCGACAAATGTTTTGTTTTATTTTACCATGTTTTCTTAAGGTTTTCATGAGTTCATTAATTTATTATGTGTTTTTGTGACTTGGAGAAAGGATGTGTGTAATGTGTTGCAAAGTTTTACTCTTTCTTTAGTGAATGCAGAGCTCTATTGATTTGACTCTTGCATGGCTGGCCGCAAAGGTGAGTTTAGGATAATTCATATGGATTAATATTACCACAATTAAATATCCACACCTATTGATCTTGTGGATGTCCACAGATATGTAAAATAAATAATATGAGAGTTATTTATAAAGGCTAATAATTAATGTTATATTTTGGTTAAAATAAAGTTCATGTAATATTAGTTATATGTTTCATGCATGGATGTAAGATGAATTTCACAAGATTGAAATTTACACGTTAAGGGTTTGAAGCTGAATAGTAGCTGAATTGTTGTCTGCCCTTGTCACTCAAGCCATTGATTCTGGTGCTCTTAAGGGTTTGAAGCTATCTAGAAATGGACCAGTTCTGTCTCACCTTCTCTTCGCAGATGACTCTCTCTTCTTCTGCAAGGCTAGTGTTGACCAAGCTGCCACATTGCTAAATATCCTTGATAAGTACAGACTCTTCACAGGGCAGCTGGTAAACCTTCAAAAATCAGCTGTCTTTTTCAGTAAGAACACTCCTCAGTCTATCCAAGAGAGCATTTGTACAACACTGCAGGGCATTGCCTCTCACAGATCCACCAGGTATCTCGGCCTTCCTCTGGG